CACATCCCAAGGTCAGGAAGATTTTAATCTATATTTCCTTTAGAAGTGTTAAAGTTTTAGCTTTTGTGCTTACTTAGGTCCAATATCCATTTCAGGTTAATTTTTATATATAGCAAATTTTGTGTATAGTAAATTTTGTATATAGTAAAAGGTAGGAATCAAAGTTCTTTTTTTCCTTATAACATCTGTTTTAGTGCCACCTGTTGAAACATTGAGTTATCCTGGCTCCTTTGTTGATTGAATATTAAATACGTGTAGGTCTATCTTTGGACCATCCTATTCCATGGATCTATGTCTGTCCTTACATGAATACTATCTTGTCTTGGTTGCTCCTTTTCTAACTTAAGAATTTAGATCAATGAATTTAAAAATTTCTAATGTAACCATTTAAAGTCATCAAATTCTCTCTAGGGATTGATGTAACTGCATCTCACAGATAATATCGATACATTCTATTTTCATTCAATTCTAATTATTTTCTAATTTCCCTTGAGATTTCTTCCTTGACCTATGAGTTATTTAGAACTGTGTTGCTTCATTTCTAAATACTTGGAGATTTCCAGTTATCTTTCTGTTATTAAATTTTAGTTTAATTCCTTGGTGGTCAGAGAACATACTTTGAATGATTCAGTTAAGATTCACTGATATTTGTTTCTGCCTAGAGAATGATCTATCTTGTTGAGTATTTTGTGTGCACTTAAACAGAATGTATATGCTGCTGTTGGATAGACTGATCTAGAAATGTCCACTGGGTCAAGTTGGTTAACAGTGTTCCTTAGATTTCCTATACCCTTACTGATTTTCTGCCTACTTTTTCTATTTGGATCATTTCCTGTATGGAGCTGTTACAAATAATGCTTTTATGAACATCCACCTGTAAGTCTGTGTGGAGATATTTCTCGTAGGTAGATACAGGTAAGTGAATTACCTAGATCATATGGTAAATATGTTTTAAAGCATTTTTTTAAGAAACTCCCAAACTACTTTCCATTTTGGCTATGCCATTTAACATTCCCATCAGCAATACAGAAATGAGAATTCTCATTTCTCCATGTTCCTGAACCCACTCATTTTCTGACTTCCATTTTAGCCATTCTACTGGATGTGAAGTAGCATCTCATCATGGTTTTAATTTCCATTCCACTAATGAGTAGTAATACTAAGCATTTTTTCATGTGCTTATTAGCCATTCATGTATCTTCGTTGGTGAAATGTCTATTCAAATATTTTGCCTGTTCTGAGGAATGATGTCTTAATGTTCAATTGTAAAAGTTCTTTATATATTCTGCATACAAGTTATTTATCATATACGTGATTTTCAAATATTTCTCAGAGTCTATTATTTATCTTTGCACTTGCTTAGTGTTGTCTGTAAAGGGCAAAACCTTCTAAATTTTAATTAAACCCAATATATAAATATTTTTCTTTTATAGATTGTGTTTTTGGTGTTACATCTGAGAAATCTTTGCTTTGTTTTCTTTTTTAAAAAATTACTCCATGGGGATGCAATCAGCGAAATCTTGGGTATGGGAAACTACGCAACAAATGACCCAATTTCTTTAACAAAAAAATCACAAGGGGAAATAATGATGACAGAGGAACATGTAGGTCAAAAAAACTTAAAAGAATTAACAATAAGACATAATACATGGACTTTATATGAAACTCAATTTAAGCAAAAAAAATTATTTTAGAAAATTGGGGAAATGTAAATATGGATTAAATATTTGATGATATTAAGGAAGCCTTTTTTTAAGCAGTGGCAACATATTGTGCTTACACTTTTATGTTTTAAAAGAGTCCTTATCTTTTACGAATACATACAGAAATATTTATAGATGAAATGATATATCATGTCTAGATATATTTCAAAA